AAAAAAAAAAAAAAAAGAATGACGAACAAGAATGGAAGAGGAACTTACAACAATCTTAATAATAGTGTAAAAACATGTATGTAGCCAGCAAAATGTGTGTTCCTATATATGTGAGCATGTATCCAAACTTCTATATACGAAGAATGATTTCAGTTAGGACAAACTTCGTCTACTCAGTCTCAGCTCAACTCCAAAAGCATTTTGTACAAAAATCAAAAGAAAGCTTTGATTAGCATTATAAAGTTTGAGAAAACCCTTCACTGCCCATCGTGTGGTTCGACTGCTGCACCAGAACAGGTTCCTATAATCTGACAGCTGAAAATGGGGAATTTTATGGTTTTCTCTTTAGTACACATTTTTGAATTTACTGTATTATCATCATAGTAAAGCATTCCAGAGAGCCTCTTCTCCTTCCCCACAGTGTTCGTGTACGAATTTCATCCTCTCCACAGACTTGCAGATTCCACTGCAGCTCCAGTCGAAAGAAGCAATGCATAAATTTCCCGCTTGTGCTTTCCACTCGCAATCTGCAATATTTAGTAACAAAATATGAGTACATAGATTTTTCATTTTTTTTTTTCAATTCAAAATTTGTCATTCTGCATTGGTTTTGACCACTTGAGTCATTTATTCATCCAAAATTCTCTACCTATATTCAGAAACAAGCTTATAGTTTTTTAATGCTTGTTGTCTTTTTTATTCTCAACTACTTTTAGCTTCTGCTAAGATTTTAAAAAGAAAATTTGTACAGTCTTGAGGATCAACCTTCGAGCGATGATTGCAACATATTGTTACTTACTGAGGTGTTTAGAATATGCAACTGCAATTTTCAAATTTTCACTAAAGATTTCTTTTAGGTATAATATGATACGAAAATGTAATGCTAAAAATCGATGAGATGTATCAATATTGAAAATAATGGTGTTTCTTTTCCGGAGAAGTGAGTAGATTTGCTTGATGAGAACAATTCCAAATATTTCGGCAGAAAATTCACAGTTTTGGGTTTTTGATGGAACTAAAATTTTCGTAAATGTATTAAAACTAAAAAATCGATTAAAGAACGATACCTGGTGGAGTACTGCAGCACATATTGCGCTCGTCAATGTGCTCGACTTCAAGACCAATAAACCAAGCACCAAGTGACACATCTTCATTAGCATACTTGTGCAGAATGGGCCTAAAAATTGCAAATCATAATAGAATCTCAATTCTCATAAAAGGGTAATGGTTCTAATGTCATAAAACACTGGCAATCTACAGCTTTGAGTTTCTAAAGGAGGCTAAATTTAGGGGCAGCTTCATATGCATTTTGCCTTTTGTAGCTGCAAAGTATATATATATAAGTTTGCCTCTACAGCTCACTAATTTAGCAGTGCAATATTTATCGATACTCCATAATTCTTAAAAAGAACTAAGTTCTCACTGATTAATCGAGATGTAGGTGGCCAAATCCTTGGAAATAGCATAAATCTGCCCAGTTGCATGCCGGAAATACTTATTTCCTTCTTCTCCGAATTTCCAGTATTCTGGTTCGTGATACTTAACATTCCTGGATGATGATGATGATGATGATGATGATAAGATGTGATTATTAAATGCCAAACATGATAACATTAAATAAGATGTAGAATCACAAGGATTACTTTTGAGCTAAAACTGGTCCAGATTTCATACAACCGATGTAAACTCTGGGTTTCGAACGGTGACGAGCAAGAGTTGCAGCAAATGTACCTATAACCACCAAAGAATTGATTAGTGGGGTTTTTCAATAGTGAATTACAAATCTTTTAACAATTTCACAGATGAAGGAAAACAAAGGCGTTCATTCAATTCAATACTCACCCAGATTAACATGAACATCATCATCAACTTTGACATAAAAATCCGCATCCCACCTTGCAACAGCAGTGGCAAAGAAAGTCTTTGTTTTCGCAGATAGTTCATGATATCCTTCGATATGATCCTGTCAACATTATATGATTAAAGATTTTAAAATCAAATCTCGGGTTAATTTCTTAATTTAGGAAAAGGAAAAGAGGGAACTTGGTCGAATTTCTTTTACCAGTCGGAGAAAGTCCTGATGCTGAGCTTCTTCAGAATCGATAGCTCTATCCAATATGCTATTAGATGTTGCACTGTAACAATCAAATGAAATATCTATTTAGTTCCAGGTACATGCAAAAGTTCTCCATGAATGAAGATTAATGTAAATCAATAAAAGAAATTCAAACGGTAAAACTTCATGACGTTCTTTGACGTTGAATAGCACAGGCCATATAAGCCTGGATGGATACTGATAGATCCAAAAAGACGGCATAAAAACACAAAGACTAACAAAAATATACACCAAAGAAAAAAATGAGGTAATCTCCAATAATGTGAAATTTTTACCTATGTCCAATCATAAATCTCACAACAATCCCCTTCTCTTGCTCCAGTTTTTTAAGCTGCTCGCCTAAGCAAATCACACAACATGTCATCAAAAACAATCTCACTCGATTATTGCAAAACAAAAAAAGTAAAATAAAAGCTAATAATAATGATAATAATAACTCATTTGAGTTCTGGGAAAGGGTATTAACCTTGAGGCATCCATGTCTCTCGGACCGAATCGCGCCTCTTTCGACTGCTAAAAGCAGTATTTATACCAATCACCATAAATGCCTTCTTCCTTGGAGGACCCTCACTAGAAACCGGTGTTGAACCATCATCTTTTCCCTTGGCCTGAGCACTTCTAGAAGCAGATAATTCCATCTGAAGCATCGAAATCGACTTGTCCAACGACCTGAAACGACCCCGAAATATACATTTGCCAATTACCATTAATTAATTTACAAATTAAATTTTACTAAGAATGGCTAGAGCTAATTAAAAAACATGAAAAAAAATGTGAATTTACTGGATTGCATCGTGGGTTTTGTACACCTCTTTCATTACATCCTTGTCTTGATCTGCCGCTTTCTGGGGAAAATTATTCAGACACTACTCANAAAAATTATTCAGACACTACTTAATACACCAAAAAATTCATCCACACCCCAAAATAGGGAAAGCTAAATAGGTTCGAAATTTGGAATTAAAACCCAGAAAAGCCATGAAAGCTTGGACCTTTAGAGCTTCAAATACATAAAATCTAAAGAGGGAGTCATAAAGGTCGAACCTTTTTCTTAGTATCGCAGTCTTCGGACACGATCTGAAGCTCTTGGTCCCTTCTTTGCTGTGTTATGAGGAGATTGTTGGATTCTAAAGGACCCCAGAATCTGTAAAACCCAGATCACTTAAAAAAAGGCTAAAACCTCCCCTAAAAATAGTAAAGATTCTTGAAAAAAAATAAAAAAAAAAATATATATATATATATATATATATATATATATAACAACAGAAACCCATTAAAATTATACAGCAAAAAAACGTACTTGTTGGTGAAAATCATGCCGATGAAGAAGAAACAAAGGGAGAAAATAGGAATCCAAGTGACAGAGACCTTCCCATTATTCTTGTTCTTCATTATATTCGACAACAACGAAAGAGAGAACAAAACCCCAGATTTCAAACGAATTATGACTTCGAAAAAATCGAGGATATATATATATATATAGAAGAAAGAGGGCAGAGCTGGTGAGTGGTGTTGAGAAGTCGTGATAGAGGCGACGATGGAGCTGAGGAAAACGAAGAATAAAATTTTCTTGGAAAACAAATTTTATTAGTGTAATAAAAATATATGATTAATAGATCTAATTTATTATTATACGCGGATTTTAGACTTTTTTTGGGACTTTTGGTATGGACTTTAAGAAATTGGTGTGTGGACCGCAAGAAGAGAGGTTGGCATGAAATGATTTTCGCCGGAAAGTTCTTTTTCGCAGAGAAGACGAAAGGCACTGATTGGTTTTAGGAGGCTTTCTTGTTTTTCCGTTCGCCGGAAAAAAGTTTT